GAACGGATTGTTGTAAGGCTGTAATTTGTTGACTAAGTTCCAATCCTTTTTGGTGTTGCTTTTGCAAGTCTTGTGCAAGAGCACCATTAGCGGTTGTCTTTGACTCGATGACAGCTAATGCATCGCGATTCGAGGATTCGAGAGAAGAGATTCGAGACCTTAAAGTTTCTAACTCAGATGTCGACGTCGAAGAAGTAGATTTCAAGGTTTGAAGTTCATTTTGAAGAGATGACCTTGATTTCTCTAAAGATATAAATCAGCATCACCATATAGTATAGTAAAATTCAAACATCTTACCCTCCTCGTTGAGCTTTGTTCTCAACTCTTCTACAGTTTTCTGCGCCTTTTCCACACTTGATCGAAGTCCTTCAATGCGCGTCTCTGAGCTTCTCACAGCATTTTCAAGCTCGATATCGACTCGTAGTTTATCTGCCGCCAATTCATCATGCTCGCGCGCCTTTGCGGTAACAGCTTCAAGGACACTTCGAACTAATTCCGCTGTAGGATTATCAACAACTGTCTCAAGGGTCTGTTGCGGCACACTTAAATATGCCGACAAATAATCGACATCAAGTACCGCGGTCGCCATCTTGAAAAGATTCCTTCAGACAATTTGTGGTTGTGTTTTGTAGAGGACCATTTGAAATGAGTGGTTGAGAATTTGTGTTAATCGCGTTGCTTTGAGAAAGTGAAGGTAGCTGGAGATGAAAGTAAGTAATAAAGTTGAAAGAAACCCCAGTGATATCTATGAAATTCCTTTCATTTATTGTATGACCATACTAAATCTCGGAATGAATGAATAAATTAATAAGAATCCGTATTGAAATACCTACGATGATCAAATCGCGGTGTTGTCAGTTTCTTGAATAGATTCAATCAGTCTTTGAAAGCTTCCATGTTGCTTTCAGGACGGGAAGGCGCTGACTAATACGTACAAACCTAGGAAAATTGAATAATATGAATGGATGGAATTCTTTAGCGCACGCTTGGGCCCTGTACGTTCTACATGCGCTAAAAATTACTCCCATGTAATTTCTCAGCCTCATCTACAGTACAATACGGAGTCTCAAGGCACTGAGCAACTTCTTTGTCTTATTTCAACACTTCCCATCGAAAGTTGCGCCAAATCCTCTCGAACCCTCCACAACTCTCGATTTCGAATACATACTGTATTGTCCAGTCCTTACCCGTCGCATGCATCAAGTAATCGACATCAGCCTTCCTAATCTTTAAGCACCGACGTCATCTGGACCTCAAAATCATTTTACGGTTTTACAACAGCTATTAGACGCAAAAAGGTCTTTCGGGCTCGAATCTATTTAAGACTTTCAATCTCAATACATTCTACATCATTAACCGTCATCATGTCTTCATTCCTGGAGAAGCAACAAGCAGCCTTTGCAAAGGGTATTCAAAATACTTCAGCCAAGATTACAAGCAAGCAGCGTCCCACTGCACCAGTTTCAGTACCATCACCCGCTCCATCAAACACCTCAAATACATCGAAGAGCGAGAACAAAGATCCTAAGCGTAAGAGAGAACCCACGAATGTCGTTTACTCTCAACCTGCTGCCACCGGTTATGGAACAGAAGCATTTACACAAGTCACCTACGTTATCGAATTCTTGAAGAAGAAAGATGAACCCAAAACTTTCCAGGAGATTCTAGAATATTTGAGTCAGGTACACGTCGAGCAGAGTAAGAAACAACTCATTGCGCAAATTCTCAGAAGACATGATCGAGTTCAATGGATCGCAGATCCCAAGTTGAAGGTGCAAGCTTGGGATTCTGGCACATTCAAGCATCGACCCATCATTGGTGTTCGTAACAAGGGAGCTTTGTTATCATATCTTCAAAATAAACCTGATGCTCAAGGTGTCAGTGTTAAGGATTTGAAGGATGGTTGGCCAGATTGTGAAGATGCGATCAATGAATTGGAAAAGGAGTACAAGATTTTGGTTACGAGAACAAAAAAGGATAATCATGCACGAATGATTTGGATCAATGATCCTACCTTGATTCATCCTGTCGAATCCGAATTCCAAGTCATGTGGCACCGAACGGAACTTCCAAGCGTCGATGATCTTGTTCGAAAGCTCCTCGAAAATGGACAAAAACCTGCCAGTGAAGACCCAAGTAAGCGTGTCAAGGTAGCTCCAAAGGCAAAGGAAAAGAAGAGAAAGGCTCCAAGAAAGGGTGGCCGTACTACAAATACTCACATGGCACATTTGTTGAACGATTACTCTCACATGAAGCGATAGATGGATGGCGGGGAAATTGTACCAAAATGGTGGGACGGCGTTTCTGAGGGGGTTCAAACCATAATACACAGCGAGGGCGTTTAAATCTAAGATCTCAAAGGATGATTCTTCATTGGTAAATCCCTTGACACATGGGAAGGGATGGGGACATGGCTGGGTGGGTGGGAAATTGGCTCATACAATGCCACGCACAACTTACGGTGGATGTTTTATGAAGATAGACCCAACATAGAATACACACTTGCTTTTTATTGATATTCAACTGCACATGTGAACTCTTTGCGGCTTCCGGTTTTTGGTAGTCGCTAAACTGATATATTATTGTGACAGAGCCCATATACTCCATGTATTTCCTTTCTAATGTTTGTAGATTCCTCGGCCGAGAAAAACATGCATGACACTCCTTATTTATTTTCCCTATATTGTAGAAATTCTTCCCCTGATCCATACGCGAGGAGTACAATTCAGGGGTCAAATGAACCATCATCATAAACACGTTTCCCATAACTACCAAGCATCAAAATTCCCAAATCCTCCCGACTTTATCTTCTTCTTAACTGGGGCCTCCTCTTCGTCCACTTCCACAACTCCAATACCATTATCCGTTCCACCCGCTTTAAGATATTTCCCCACTCCACCCGTCGACTCATTTTGTACCACCGTTCCATCGCCCCTAATCCGTTTACCAGTCCACGTAGTTTTATCATCTTCCGTTCCTCCCTGCCTCATGATTTCCGCTTTTTCTTTCTCCGCAACATCTTTCTCCTGTTTCTGTTTCTGGAATTCTTCAAATGGATCAACGAAGACTACCACATTTTCCATGACGATATCTTTTATCGGACGACTTTTATCGTCTACTTCTACCTTTTCGAGTTTAGAGAGTACGTCCATACCACCGACTACACGACCAAAAATGGTATGTTTCCGATCTAAATGTTTAGCTTCTTTGTAGGTGATGAAGAATTGACTCGAGTTGGTGTTTTTCCCCTTGTTGGCCATACTCATTACACCCCTTGAATCATGAGTTAAAGGTCCGTCGAATTCATCCTGAAAGTTCTTTCCCCAAATACTTGAACCTCCTTTACCAGTTCCTGTTGGATCACCTCCTTGAATCATAAAATTTCGGATATTCCTATGAAATGATACACCATTATAGTAACCTTTTTTGGCCAATTGGACAAAATTCCATACCGCGCGAGGTGCCGTTTCGGTTTGTAATTCGATATTCAATGATCCCAAATTCGTTTCAATCCTAGCGTACCCCTTTATCTTAACTCGTTTCGGCTTTAACATATATTCTTCATCCGTAAGAATTGCTCTTTCTCCACTGGTTTCTGGAGTCAAGCCCGTGCTTGTAAAACTTGCTGCCGCTCTTCCTGTTGTATATTGTGCTGCATTGTATGCCATCTTCTTTTCCTGTAATAATGAAGGTTTCGCCGTAGAAGTTGTCGACCCTGGTTTAACCATTGATTTCGTGCGATTAACATCTCCGCCAGCCTCCCTTTCCCTCCTAGCTTTCTCAACAGCTTCCTTTGCTCTCAAAACTTTATCTCCAACTCTGCCCAATGCATTAATATTGACGCTACCTTTCGACCTCTCTTCTTCTTGTTCTTTGCTCAAAACAGACTCTCCTTCTTTCAAGAATTTAAACTTGCTAAGATCTCGACTTTCGATATTTTGCGGATCTTGTAATGTGATGATATCCGACCTTCCAAATTCTCGATCATCGACTAAATCCAACCACATCTTTGCCTTAATATTCAATCTTTCGACAGTTTCCCATGCAAATACGTTGGCCTCGGTACCATGCCTTATTGCGACAATATGCGTATTATCCGTAAAGACTTTGAAGGTAACTGGGTCCACCATTTCTCCTTTACCATCCCCTCCAGCACCACCAGATCCTCTTTCTTGCGCATCAGTATCTCCATTCCGCGCAAAGTTCAATTTTATCAAATCTTTCGCACTCAATGGATTTCCATTGATAGGATTTGTGCCATGCTTCTCGAGCCATTGTGAAATAACTTCTATATCGAATATAGTACCTTCTGCTGTACAGACTGGATGTTTGAATGGTTGTAAACTCGCCGCACAAAAGTTGAAGGGAAGGCGCTTGAATGAGCCATTGGGAGCTTTTTGGGAAACGTTTGATCCGCTACTCGCGGAGAATGCATCAGAGGATGACCATTCGGAATGGGTGATCTAAAAGTCATGTAAAGATTAGCATATAGGAAAACTGGACATTAGTACGTAGTCTGGGACTGGTGAGAGCTCACGTATAGTTTATCCGTGCCTATGAGAGATCGATGTTAGCATGCCATTGTATTTCAGATCTGAGTGTTATTGCGACGAACCTTTACCCATTATAAACTTTTAATATTATGTTGTGGATGGTTGATGGAAATTTGATTATTTGGAAGAAAGCTTCATCAATTGTTTGATATTTTAGCGCGACAGACTGTTATCGGGCTTATCGTGGGTCGCTACAGTTACTTCAACTCCCTGTAGGTGCTAGGTTAACCACACTTCATTGTCATATCAAATATCATCACATAATTGATCATGATTCAATATTGCATATCAGTCCGTTTCTTTAGAGATGTATGGATATTGCAATTCCTGAAGATGTGTACTCAGGATCATTATTTGGTCGCTCTACCCTAAAAATGTGCTGTTTGCGATGAATGGATACACTAGAGCTGCTAGAGCTACAGTCTTCCTGGATGTGCTCTATGAGAATTACATCCTTCTCTCAAGATTTTCGGCCTCCTTCACAACACGCTCATCAACCATCAGCACACGTGATGGAAGCTTCAATTTAGATCCATTCCAATAAATTGCTGAGCTATAAGTATCAAGTGATAACATCACAGTAGTTGTGAACTGAGGGGTTGCGTCAAGTGACGCCCTGAGAAAATGATTGTTTCTTATGCCGACGACGTGGTGAAAGGATTAACTCCCTGGCGAACTGAAGGAAAAGTATTGGTGTTAGTTGAGCTATATAACAAGTTGTTAAATACATACCTATGCATACCCCTGACCAAGTGTTCATCCCCCTTCATTTCACCATTCATTCTTCGCTTCCTCTCAATACTCTAACAAAATATGAACATTGACAACTGCTACATCTCCAAATCACTCTTTCATCTGTAATACTATCCATATTCCACCATTGCTTTTGTTCCTTTTTCCATTGAACCACAGCTTGAACTTCTAGTTCACCAAAACTATCACCTGGATACATCTCAATGTATGGTCTATGTTTTTCCAGATCGTCTGTAAGTAGAAAATAACGAATATGGTATCTGGGGGACGTAGTACTATCCTTTTCAATATTTTGGAGTTCGATAATTGGTTCTGATTTTTTTGGTATGTCGCCCGCGAGGAGGGGAAAGGCTTTGTTGAGTCGTAGACGAGCGTCCAAGGCCGAAAGAAAGAGAGAAAGGAGGTTGGATGAGTGTCCCCTCGGGATCCTAGTCGTAAGACAGCAAAGAATGACACTTGAAGACATCTTCTCTGGCTGGAGTGATGCGGTTTGGAAATGAACAAGGATTCAATGTAAGTTTTCAAACCATTCTTCCTCCAGATAGATACTCTTCCTCTTCAGCGTCGTAGTAACAAGCTATGAATATCTTTATTGATCGTTGAGTTCAACTTTACATGTGCAAGTTTGCTTGAAAAAACGCCATAGATTTTTTTGTTATGAATCATCTTCTATACGGCAGCACACAATCTGCCTGCCGTATGGGTTAACATCACCCTATAAACTCTGTTTTCATTTTGCGAAGCTGTGTGTAATTTGTAGCAAGTGAGGTGTTGCCATGGTGAACTATCCAATTAATTGCATGTTTCCCGCAAAAGAGGTCATATGAGGGTCCCCGCAACGTTTAGGTGCCCGGAAAAAACAAACATTGGATTGTTAGTTGAGATGAACAATGACCAAAATCTTGTGACAATAGAAGGTACATGAGTATAAATAAATCACTTTGCTTCCTATGAACACTATGTTCAGGATATCGATAACCTCCCTAGGGTTGTATCACTTTCAAGTATATTTCGGCTTGTAGTTCATACCGCTTCTGACTCACGCGATATCGCATCTAGAGGGCTTCCCTAAAGATTTTAACAAGTTAATGATGTTCAGTTTCTATTACTTACCCTGAATTCTGAACATGAAGACTGTAAATAGACGACATATCCATTGAAAAGCAAATCAAAATAACGGTACCCCGCACCCCTCAATCACCCCTTATCGCTTCACTCCCCACTCCTGACTTGTCCAGTCCTTAAACCTCGCACGACAATTGAGACTTAAATAGAATAATACTCCCAAGTATTAAGTTGAGAAATTTGCATAAAACAGCCCGTGATCACAAGATAAACGAAAGCAAAGACAAACGACAGGTACAGTACATGAGCCAATTGACATTTGGCAAGCTGAGAACCGTACACTAGTTGGATTCCTAATGGAGAGGAATTTTACTTCCGAGTCACAGTGTATGTCCAAGTCCTCTACTACAGTTTCTCAACAAAAGAAAGAATTCAAGATCAATCCAATCGGATCACTACCAATCATGAAATCATCTGGAAAAGACTGAATCGCTTTTCCTCGAGAAATTTGTGCTAGACAAATCTCACCAATTATTTCTCATCGAAACAACACATGACGCGAAGATATTTGATGTTGAATACTAGGACACTCGTTCTTGAATCTACTCGGACTAGAGCCATGATCTCGAGACATCAGAAGCGCAAAACTGAGCAACATGAAAAGAAGATCTCCTGGTATGAATACATTTAGTACTCACAAATTCAAGACACTCAACCTTTTTCCCATGCATTTCAATCAGATAAGCAACCACTCAGAACTCACATTCCACATCTGCACCGCACCTAGCCCAGCCACATCGTGAATCCATCCCAATCATCACCAACTCAAAAGCAAAGATAAAACCTCAACCGCTTTAACGATGCCACTTCTAACCGCGCGATGCGTTCCTCAAAATCCCGATGGTTTCACAACCACCACTGAGCGACTTGGCCGCCGAGCGACTCGCGATCTACCGTACATACATATACATATACATACGGAGTGAGCAGTGAGCACAGCACCTATCAGATGCGGCAGAGAGCTACATACCTCCCGTTTGTGAATATGCAGCCGCAACCAGCTCGAGTGCCATGTCACACTCGCCCGCGTCTAGACAATTGACGTGGTCCGCCACGCCGGCCTGGAGGGGCACTCCGTCGCCGCGCAGAAAGAGTGGAGCGTATCGGCTACGCAGCAGGAGCGGCAAACACATGGCATCTGTGGGGTTGGGATGCGCTAGAGCGTCTTGGTTGGTACTGGTATGTATGTATGTATGTATGTATGTACAATGTACAATGTACAATGTATGTGCGATAGACGCAGATGATGCGGTGAGGATAAGGTCGAGGTTGGTTTGAGTTTACTGTAGAATGCTTGGATTTGTTTACCGTTTGTTTTGTTTTTACAAGGAGAGCGGGCTGGGCTGGATTGGATTGGGCTGGGTTGGGTTAGCACCCGGTAGGTATGTTTTGGAGGTAGGGGATGCGGATGGACTGGAGGGGCTTGACTCTTGAGGAGGGGCAGGGCAGAGGGGCAGTGTGGAGTTTACTAGACATGAATTCCTATCACATCATATCATATCATCTCATCTCTCATGCACAGTACTTACTCTCCTTCAAGATCTCGATTCCAACGTAAATGAATGAACGAATAGACCAAGCAAAAGATACAAAGGAAGCGGTGTACCTACTGCCGGGCGGTGTAAGGTTATTCCAACTTCCGCCCCTCTCTCTTCTCGAGCTTCGGAATCTGTTCCAGGCCCACCCACAAATCACATCGAGAAGGATATCCGTGGCGGGGCGGAAGTACCGGTTGGTTGGACTCAAGGTGCAAGGATAGAGGGGATATACTCCGTACGGAGTATTGTAATTTGTGCCGACGATGGAAATTAGAATGGGAGAGAAGGATATTGCCGTGTAGGCGGTGAAAGACCAATTTAATTCCCTTCCCTTCACAAGCCCTTCACAAGCCCGAGACAAGGAACAGGAAGATGGGGAGTACGGCATGTGGAGAAACTTTCGCGTTGCATATTGTGGGTGGAGGGGGGAGGGGGGAGGGGTCCGAGGGGGTGTTTCGAAAAAAGGGGCAAAGGGGAGGAAAGGAAGAAGAAAGACTTCCAAGGTTGCCTCCAATTGTTTGCTTGGGAGCGAGCTTGGGTACAGTAAAACGGTAATGAAAATACATGGGGAAGAAATAAATAAATGAATAAATAAATAAAAGAATAATAAAAAGAATAAAAGAAATGTATACGTATTTGGCCCCCAAAATTCTAATTGATCAATCTCGTGCCACAACTGTTCCAAAGTGTTTCAAAAAGATCATATCACATCGTCTTGCGCAATCTGAGCCATCTTACTATATGTGTGTGTGTGTGTCTTGCTTGCAAAAGGAAAATCTGTTTCACATACAATCTTACTCCGTACATTGGAACTCCTTGTAGTGATTCGTAAGATGTGTTTTTATTGATATTAAGTCACTATCACATGACCTAAACAGCTTTTAGATGAGGAAATTTACTAAACACACACCACGATGAAGTATCACCACGCCGTTGCAAACCCCCGATATTTTTTACAGCGAAAGAGAAAAATACGGAGAGGTGGCGCGGCAAGGACATGTTCTTGTTCTTGTTTGGGGTTGGACCAGGAGATTCATGCCGTGTTTGAACTTTGCAGGAGCGTTTGGAGACTTGGTTTTGGGGAGAGGGGGTCTAGATCTTCTTGATGTGTTTGACTTTGATTCTGCTCAAACCTTATTATTATATCCTGTGGTAGGTTGGTAGCTTGTTGTGCTGGTAGCGTTCACTGTGAGATGGTGGATGGCTTAGGAGTTGGTGTTGGGATGGATATCATAGTTTATAGTCCATACAGTCAGTCAGTCAGTCAGTGTACATTGATCAATCATTGAATATCCAACTTCCCCTTTGAGCTCCAAGATATATTTATCGAATCTGACTGTACTGTACTCTCTCCGGAGGATCTATTTCTTCCCTCCAGTGTAACATCATCACATAGCATCCATACCATGCCATCAAAGTGCCACATGCGCCACTCCAATACCACTCTGGAAGCAAGGCTTGTTCTGGAAACTGGAAGTACAGAGGGGGAATTGATTTATGCAGGTGTGAGGAACACTACACGCATACATACATATATACATACACACATCGATGCAAGGACAATTGTGCGCCGGACGTAGACTGTACAACCAACTTCTTTTTCTGGAAACGTTATCCGAGGATATATAGGGAATATGTGAGGGGTGAGTAGAGGGGGATTATCTTCATGCTGATGCAGCCTATGTGAGGAGACAGGTATATCTACACCTACACCTACTAGGTAGGTACCTCGGTTTGTGATGCGATGTGATGTGATGTGAGTGGCAAAGTTAATTGAGACGGGCGTGAAGAATCGGAGGAATCATGGAGAATTCCGACTTTCTGCATAATGAAGTGTATCACGAGAATGAATGTGAAGATGGGGAAAAAGGGGAGCAGGGCCGGAGGTAGAAAGGGCCGGAGGGAAGAGATGTTTTGAGATTGGTTGCATCGTATTGTATGATATCGTATCTCCTGGATTCGATGGGATACCGTAATTGACATTTGACAGGCATACGGGACTGGGAATTTGGGGTAGTGTGATGTTTATTTCTTCATGTGAGTGGTTTGGTTTGGAGGGGCACAGGGAGATGGTTTGGATGGATGGATGATTATGCTAAATGAGTGTTGAAGATCAAATGCAATTTCATCAGATACCTACTATACGATACCTACCTGGGTCAAGATGATTGGGTGACATTGAGCGGTTGATTGATCTAGTGGGACAAAAAGTCAAATAAGTACAGAGTAACCTACGGAGCGGATAATCGATACTATCTATGATCTATCTGCGGAGGTATCGCATTGTGTGATCGATTTAGTAGTAGTAGCACCGCAGCATCGAGTAATACTTCTTCGGAATTATTGAATTAATAGGTTAGATGACCGACAACGGAGAAGTGGGAAAGCGGAGGGTGGTATGGAAGGTAGTATTGTGAAGGCGTGGAATAATTTTATTTCTGATGTGAGGATGTGAGGATGTGAGGATGTGGCGAGAAGGATGAAGGAATGCATTTCTGGAGGGATAGGAGGGAGTAATGGATGGCATGGATGTAAAGTCGTTTGCAATTCTTTAGTATCTACGCCTCTGTTCGAAATGTGCTGAGATCCATGGATGGCGTAGAATGATTGCTGATTGCTGAGTGAGAAGGTTGAGGGGCTGAAGTTTGATATAGTAGGTAGGGAGTAATAGATTGTGTAATAGATTGTGCCAATAAAAGTTAAGATGCATTGATATGATATTAGTCGATACTGTACGAACAGATTTGAATAAACTCTCAATTACTCAAATGAGTATATCCTCAGAAATAAAATCATACCCATTCTTGAATTCCAATATCAATGTCGAGTTTCCAATTCAAAGTTCTCGAACAATTCCAATTCCAATTCATTCCAATTCCAATTCCAATTCCAATTCTACAGACCATCTCCATCTATCCCATCCTATTCGTAGGAGAAAAAACAGGCGGAATTTGACAATTTAAATCTTTATTAAAATCTTCTAATTTAATTGAATAATAAATCATTTTAAAATGATTTATATAAATTCAAAAAGATCAAAAGAATATTTAGCTCTTTATTGTTTAGGTGATATTTCGAAATTTTATTTTATATAATATTGGAGGAAAGTAATTGAATGATATTATATCGTAGAAGTGGTCGAATCCCGCCTGTTTTTTCTCCTGCGAATAGCCCATCCCTTTTCGCTTTGATACCCACGTTCCCTCGCCTCCCCTCGCACGTCTCCCCTCACCGATCTCCATCATACCATCCCATACCCTACCTCCCATACGGTTTATTCCCAAAACCCCTGATCGACAAGGAGGGGCAACCGCGTCGCAAGTGTACGAATCAATCATCTCTATCAGCGATATCCAGATTCCGAAGATCAAACTTCCCTGTATGGTTTGATCAATGATGAAACTTAATATCAATCTTTTTGATAATATACGATATTGACAAAGACCTTCTATCCTCTTTCACCTGCGTGTGTTCGTTCCATGCGGTAATTAGAGAAAGTTTACCAATCCAGGTATCATCACTACGGAGTTTTCTCTCATCTGTGAAAGACCGTTCGTTCTTTGAGAATCCAAAGTTTAAATATCACTCACTCACATCACCATCCCTAGAGATTTCTCTAACATGCTAAAGAAACTAAAGGTGGATCATCTTTTTGTTGTTGAAACTTTATTGAGGAAGGTTTTGAGTGATTTTTCTTGGGTCATTGGAAGATTGGAAGATTGGAAGATTCGGGAATTTATTCATCAAGAAATTGATTGCATTTTGAATAAAGGGAAATAAAGGGGTTCATTTTGAAATCTCTCTTTACGAATGGTGTATTCTGAGCTGAGCTGGGCTGGGCTGGGCTGGGTATGGAACATGTGTCGTACTTTCTGATATGATTATTAGTCACGTATACGTATCTCGCTCTAGGTGGCAGAAGGAGTACGACAAAGGTACGACCGAAGGTAAGACTTATACACACGAAGGCAAAGAAGCTCCACATGAGTTTTGGGAAGTACCATCATCGGTAGGTATCATTATCATCATGGTAGGTTACGTGCTCGTAATAGATTCGCATAAGAGTAAAGGATGATTCTGTGATTGTAGATACTATTCTCATCGTATCCAGACCGGTAGCAGTATTACATAAGCCAAGTACATACAAGTGAATACCTGGTAGTCATCCAAAGTATAATTACTCTGTACGCCAGAGATAGAATAGGTACCCTAGAAAGGTAGGTAGGTACTAGGGAGCGAGGGTAGGTAACCAAGTAAAGTTTCCCAAGCCTTCTTCTCTTGTGGGATAATCATCTAAATTTAGGATAAAAGGGTGTACAAATCAATCAATCTTTCCTTCGATTGCTTTCTTTCTTTCTTTCTCCCTGGGTGATTCGCCATTCTTACGTATGTTTACAGACATGGGACATGTAGTAATTGTAGGTAGGAATAGTAATTGGTCGGTAGGAATGGTAACGGGTAACTAACTGGTAAGCTCTCATAAGATTTCTCCATTTCGACTGTCAAAGAGTGAATGAAGTATGGGCCATGAAGCATGAGCTATAAAGCATGAGCTACAAGTATGAGCTACAAGTATGAGCTACAAGCATGGGCTACACGTATGAGCTACAAGTAGGAACCAGAGCTATAAGATCGGAGGCATGAACTACCTATAGACTATGAATCATGAACCATGAACCATAAACCACATCGTAAACCATAAACCATAAACCATAAACCATAAACCATAGACCATAGACCATAGACCATAGACCATAGACCATAGACCATCAATTCTCAATTATAATCTCTATCAATAACTTCAAACTTCAAACTTCCACTTTATACTTCATACTTCAAACTTCAAATTTCACAACCATCGGAATTTGACATGGAGGCTGTGTTGAGTTGGTTTTGGACTACTGTACGGTAAGGCAAGGTAAAAAGGCTTGAGCCCACCCACCCACTCACCCACTCACTCCCTCAGTGGCACTCACTCACCCACTTGCCTTGCCCACTCTTTACGATGTGTTGGAAAATGGAATCTGGAATCGGGAAGCTAGAACCCACAAATAAGAATAATAAAAAGGTACCATCCATTTACTAAATTGATTCAAATGGCGTGAACTTGGCGTAGACTGTTCACCCTAAACCTAATGCGGTAAGTTCTTGCATCAAGCATGGATCTTATTGAGAACATTCCTTTCTGGGATCATGACCTTCCATCAAGTAAATGAACGATGTCATGTGATTGGTCCCTGGAATTCCTAGAATGATCTTGAATAAACCCCTTAACCGAACACCGTGTTCAATTGATAAAGAGGACAGATCTCCCACCTCGAATATTCCCATTTCCCTCACACAAGCAATCCAATCTCTCTCTCTCTCTCTCTCTCTCTCTTCTCTCTCCTCCAACTATCCTTGCTTGGAATCTTCCATCACCTTCTTACTTTTAATTCTTTGCTTCCATTCCTTAATTCTGATTCGTCTGCCGACCTGAATTAAGGCATCACAAGGCATCCATCCATTGACTCATACCTTCCATCTCAAGTGGGCCATCCGTCCTCCTCATTATGGGCTTGTCCACATTTGACTCCCTCCACAATATCCTACATCTACAATAGTCATTCTCTGTGCATAAACCCATTTGGATTGTCCCTTTTCCTCTCCATCTCCATTATAGAACATCAATAAGAGATCCACTCAGGAACTCGAGAAGAACTAAGTTTCATCATCCACTTTGAGTTCGAGGTCAAGGTCGAGATCGAGATCGAGGTCGTCATTATTCACATCAACCTCAACCTCACATACAACCAACCTACACAAACTATCATTCCACTAAAGATGTCGGCTCCAAACCTAAAATTTGAGTTATCACCAGCAGAATCCATCGCCGAATCTTTCACTTCAATACCTGGCCAACAATATCCTTCATTATTTCACACTGAAGGAAGTATGGAGCCACTACAAGCTATGACTCCACAATCTTTCGATGGCGATAGTATGTTTGGAGATGATATGGGTGAGGATATGGGTTTAACTGGAAGTCTTGCTGGTACACCTGCACCAGAAAAGAAACAAGTCAAGAAGAGAAAGTCTTGGGGGCAACAATTACCGGAACCCAAAACGAATCTCCCTCCAAGGTAATTTAATTCACTCATCATTCATCACTCATCGCTTCATAACATTGGCTAATATCATCCAACAGAAAACGAGCAAAGACAGAAGATGAAAAGGAACAACGTCGAGTCGAAAGAGTTCTTCGAAATCGTCGAGCCGCTCAAACCTCGAGGGAAAGAAAGAGACAAGAAGTGGATAATCTTCAAGCAGAAAAAGATCAAATCGAACGTAGAAATACCGATTTGCAATTACAATTGGCAGATATGCAAGCTAGATATGAAGAAGTTCGTCGAAAGCTAGAAGAAGTCACCGGGATGACTGGCGAAAATATCACACCAGCATGCCTTCCCCCTTCATCTGTTACTTCAACTCCAAGTCGAAAAGAAAGTTTCGATGGACAATCCCCACTCGCCTTTACAAAACAATTGTTCGGAATGGAAGAATCTGGATCAACAATGACACCAATTAGAGATAGTCACAACACTATGCAATCAGCAATTGGTACTGTTGATCTAGCTTCCGTTTCACCACCACCACCTTCAATGGAATCAAATGAAGAGGACTCATTCAACCCCAGTTCTTTCGGTATGACACAACATTCTGCTGCAATGTTGTGCGACCTGCAGTGTCAACCGAAAGTACAAGGGCATTGGATGAGTACCCCTCGGAATATTCTAATTTCACGGGTTTTGGTCAGTACACTATGGGTTCAAATGATGACTTCACCAGTCATCTCGAATATCCTGATTCCCTTGGTGCAGATCAAACTTTCTTTAATGAACGGATCGGTCCTATCGTCGACGCCTTCACTAATAACTTTGATAATTTGGTTACTGACAACAACGGCGCCACTAACGATGCCTTATTCGCGGACTTCATTCACCAAGACGAGATCACACCATCTGCGCCCGAAGTACACTCTTCGGATTCGATTGTTGAGGAGACTCTTAACCTGCAGTCCCAGCTTGGCGCGTCCTCTTCTGGATGCGACGCTGGAGACAATGCGGTTGTCGTCTAATCAGCAATCAGCTAGCGATTGTATGAACGGCGCAAAGGTGTTTGATCTTCGTTACGGTGGTAAGTCTTCGAGTTTGGAATCTTTAATAACGTTGTCTTGGGCTATTAAAGTTATAATGAAGGAACAGGCCAAGGAACAGACGTCGACAATTTCAAAACCGGACGCGGTAATGAATGTTGAGCAGTCTTCTGGGAAGGATTTGTTTGAATTTAGAGAATTTAGTAAGGTTAGGGTGCATGGGAATTCTTCTGTGAAGGATAGCGATATATTTGGGGAAAAGTCCTTGGACGGACATTGGAGTATGGCGTTGGAGGATGATCAATAAGTTGACTCATATCTCTTGAAATTAGCGATATCATAGGGTGGCTGGCGTGCTAGACCTTATATCATCACCATTGTGCCAATACAAATATTGAACATTTGTTCACATTAATTTTTATCGTTCCATCCGTGAAGTTTGATTGATTGTGATTGTAGTTAATGTAAAGACCTCTTGTTCCTTAGGGATGTCGCTCCGCTAGGCCACTGCCGTGGGGGCCTTTCGCGCTTCGCTTGAAGAACCGAATGTTATGTTAGTGAAGGACTTCCAACCTCGTCAAGTATTCCAATAATGCTGCGCCAAAACCAATCATGAAAAAAAATCAAAGTATGCTATTTTGAAATCAAACTAACTGCTACCTATCTATCAATATTCCCGTCCATACTCCAGAAATTTCAAACCGAATCTATAACAATTGCTTTCTATCAATGTTCCCATGCTTTAAAAACTCCAGAAACTCCAAACTTCAGACTCCAAATTTCAAATCGGATTTATACATCTTTTGATGCGATGAGATGAGATGGGATGCGATGAGATGCGATATGATGTGATGCAATGCGAGTCCCCACCTACCTCCTACTAGGAATTCTATATTCTCTCGTTTTAATTTCTTCAACGACTCTTCGTGTTCTAGTCTCCTTGACTACTACTCCTCCTCCTCCTTCTTCGCGTACTGGTGCGAGTGATTGTCCATATTTACTGCTACTTCCACCATATTTAGTACTTCCACCTATACTGCTTCTACTAACCCTACTTCCACCGCTACTGCTTCGACCTGTATTGCTTGGCTGTCTCGCAGTCATTTCCGATCCCTGAGAACTTCCGGCATCGCTGAATCGATCCCGTCCATTGTCCGATCTCCTGGCCAATGGCAAATTTTTCGGGGGCTTATAACTGCTGATGCTATCAGATGGCGCTACAGTAGACGGAGCACCTCCTGTTCCCCTTCGTGCCCCACCTGGTCCATTCCGGTCACCGTAAACATCCAATCTGTAGTCTGGTTTTATGGTCTCCGAATAATCATACTCTATATTTTTACCCCCCCCTTTGCTATCTCTAGTGACTGTTACTACGCTGCCAGAGTCGGCTCCCGAGACACTGGAGTATCTGGATCCAGGCATGATTTTTTGAATGAGAATATAAGAGACGAAAATGAGGTACTTCGGAATTACTGTGAAAATGGAATTGTGCGCGCTGCTGATCTTTCTTATTATGACTTTTCAGGGTAAAAGATTGATGGATATATATAGGTAGTATTTTGAATCTATACATCTGCCTGATATAATGGTCACTTCTCGGTACAGAAAAGGGGTCGAGAAATCTGGACCGAGACCCGGAGGGGAATATTGCCTAGACGGTAACCCCTGGGCGACCCAATCCAACGATGATTTTGGCGACATATCATGGAAGTAACATGAGGCTGAGAGGTTTGTTTAGATCCATAATAGCCATTTCGTCCAAATAGGTCGAAAAATGAGGCATTGGAAAGTTTCAAGAGTTGCCTAGCAACAATTTATGAATTAAATCAACCAACAAAGAGGACATCGGGAAATATTGACTCGTTACTTACTGGTATTGGACCTCACTCTCATTTCATATACGTTTCAAACACTCCACCAGGCCTGCATCGTGGTGCCTGCATCGCTTTGCTCTAGGTACCTAGAAGATAACGTTTCAGCGGAGCGATATGAAGGGGGATAAATTTCCAGGTTGGATTCTACCTATCTGGTGTGAACGTTATAAAGAAAATCTTTTAAGTTCTACGATACAAAAAAATTCATGTATGAATAGTGGTAGAGTGGTAGAGTGGATTGGTTTTTATTTTAATTGAAACAGACAGTGTGCAAGATGGTGAGAAAGGAAAATGTGAAAAGAAAATGATGAATGATGAGAAGTATTCGATTATGGAAGCAAGCAATTGAAGACAACGGGGGAAAGTATTATCAACAGAGTGGATGAAGATAAGGTAACTAAGAGGTCTCTGGTAATCCGATAACTTAATCTCTGCACAAATAACAAAATGGGGTGAGAGTTCCCCTAACCTACGGCGCAGGTTAGAATGAATGGCACTTCAAGACCTGTACTGTTATGTAGATGGATGAACAAATAATTGGATAGACGGATGAATGAACGACTGAATAGATGAATGAATGAATGTCAGATAGATAGATATATGTGAGTGGAGGCCAAATAAATGATAGTATGTAAATTCCCTCCTCTACTTCAATACGCAAGGAACGACGAGGTAGAAGTGCAGAACAAATTGTCAATTCGATTCATTATGAATCAATACTTCCCCAATAACCACAGATATAACAGCAGAGCTGTCTGTCATAACCAATATAAGCTTTCCAGTGGACCAGTAGATAGATATTCGAGATCTTCATGTCAATGAGTCGAAATTATACCAAATTCTCAGGGGTTTGTCTGTTTCCGTCGTCTCTGAGAATAATTCGATGAGCATCATTTTGTCCTGGGAATTCCTCTCGATTCTCATCGTTTTCTCTGTGGAAGTGAAATTTGAGCATAAAAGTTTGGTTTTGAACCGGTAATGCTATGATGTATTGTATGGCCCTGAAAGAAAATATTAGAAAAGTATATCCCCAAAAACATTGTTGATAACTTACATGGCGAAAAAGGCGATTACAATCCCATCAACCACTAGATAATTTTCATAACTGGTCGCCATCCCACCAATCGTTGAAGATGCTAAACCACTAGCCAACAAGAAATCCACAACATTTGTAGCTTTAGCTCCATTTGGTCTAACAGATAATTTACTCTGCCATGAACCACGACTAATTTCAACAGTGACATGAAAGACTGATGAAACAAATGTATGTAGGATTCGAACGGTATTAAAGATCAAACTGAGCATGAGAAAGACATCGGCACCAATATACTTTTCATAACCATGGGTAACGAATAGTGCGAAAGCGGCTGATCCGAATGCGAGGTTCATGATTCGGAGAATAAGGACATAGTTGATGGTGACAGAACGACTCTTGGAGGTACGAGGAGAATATTCCTCAGATGTTCGATATCCATCTGAACTTGGGGCAATGTATCGATCCGAATCCGTGGATTCTCGAGGGAGGGGTGAATAATCTGGGGAACCCATGATTGGAAATGAAGGGTTTGTTATTGATGTTGTAATTCTATAGTTTGACGAAAATGTGAATGTATAGAACGAACGAAAAGAATGGACGAGAAATACTACATGGAAATCAAGGACATTTGAGTAATAAGCAAACAAAACAATGCGATTTCCAATCCACGTATCCAACTCTTATGTAAACAAAAAGCAAGGTATCTATCAAAGCGCTTCGTGTATGAAAGGCGGCGTATGAAACTGGATACGGGAATTTCGAAATCGCTTCCACAAATCAAACAGATTAACTCGGCCACTCAACCTTAAATCTCAATGATCTATTGCAAGTGTCATATATATATCAAAGATTATTGGCTGGAATACTCGCTTGAGTCCCATCTTGCATATACCCAGCCTTAGGGAGCATTTAAAAAGCATATTTTTGTACCAAATTGGCCGGGACTGCAGGGCATAGCCACGTTAATGGGTTCACTGTGACGGCAGCTAGGAGACACTCGAGGATGAACCATATAATGAAAGATGAATGCCTAATTGACCATCAAGTTGATAAGATAAGTATCCTTGAATGTTTTAGATGGGTGACATACCGGCCCAACCTCTTTCGCTGTTACTCGTGAGAAGTCTTCGGGGCGTCGTAGACGTTCTATCTTGATAGGTACTTTATGCTCAGTGATTACCACCCGTATCTTCTATCGATCTTAGATTGTGCCATTTTTTGTGTCTGCCTTGAGATATCATCAACTAAACAGATTGAATGCATGAATAGTTCATTAATGATGCGTATGTCTTTTTGAGATGACTAGGGGAATTGGAACTTTGATAGAAAGACAAGATAATCAAAGATAGGTAGTTATGAAATGATGGATTAATAAGAATATGGGGATCTTTCCTGTCAGTAAAGTTGGTGGGCTCAGTGGGGTAGCTTAATAAGTCAAGTGGACGGCAAGTATGAAAGGTTAGCGTGTATTACATAACATTCTATCATCTATCCAGGTAGGTACGGTACGAATGGTTGTTCTAATGCCTCAAGAACATCATTGACGAATATGTATTTGATTCAAACTCACACAGATCTACTCCTTATACCTAATCACAACACGATATCCAAGCACCAGAAACAAGTAAATTCGCAAGTCCATTCCAACCATCACATATTGAGTTTCTTCACATCGAGTTTCTAAGTTTCTCTCCCTCCTACAGATAACTTGATGGTCTTCCCTCTTCTCTTCCTCACCAGTCACTATTCTTCGAGATAAATTCTTGAACGCCTACCCCTCATTTCTGCTCTTTTGAATACACTGTGTCCTCTCAGCCCCTGCCACCCCTTGAAACCCCGCCTCGCAACTTTAACCCCAAGATCAACCCCAAGGTCAACACCAAGGTCAACATCAACATCAACACATTACACCACTACCTACCTACCTACTACCCTCTACCACCTACCCACAATCTTAAGCATCCCCGCAAACTCTCATTCCGATACCATAGTACCATAGTATCACAGTACATCCAGCATCCAGCATCCAGCATCCAGCATCCAGCATCCAGCACCCAGCATCCAGCACCCAGCACCCATCACCCATCAATTCAAAAGATTCAACTTGAATATCCCTTCCTTACCACCATCTTCCTCTCCTCCAAGTTCCCGAAATCATTCCTTTCCGCTCTTCCCTTCTCTCCCACTACTACCAGCCTCTCAAACTCGACCTTCCTTTCCTTTCCTTTCCTTTCCCCCACTTCCACCTTCTTCATGGGGGCAAGCCCCCAAACCCCCTTTAGCTCGCTACGCTCGATTTTCGAATATCCTTCCCTTATTTCCGAATCCCAACCATTATTTTCTACTCTTCATAGTCCTAATTCTAATCCTAGTCTGCCCCCACGGCAGTGGCCCCCGGAGGGCCAGCGGAGCGTCATTTACTCCCCTTTTAACTTTCCCTGCATGCATACATTAATAGATATATGAGCTCTACGGAATGTAGGTATCAATAGAAATTCAGGAGGTCCTCATAATTCTATACACGAGCAAGTTGGTGCGCATTGCAAGTGACAGTAGCAACGCCAATGTAGATTCATCTATAGTGATCTAAAAGAATTCCCTTCCCTCCTTCATCCATCCATCCATCATTCATAATAAAAAAAGAGCTCATTTCAGTATTCATCTAGGTATTCGTTTGCTTTCATTCGTTCGTTCAGTTGCTCGCTCGCTCGCTTGCCTTCCATCAACCATTCATCTCTCCATGTATATGCCCCTTATTCATCCACCGCCTTACTTCCCCATTCTAACCATCATTCCCTCTACAAAATTGTGCCGAAGCTATATTATTAATAGGATTAGCATGCGTCGCAGTATAAATCCCTCCAAGAAAACCCCCCAAAAAACTTACCCAAAAGTCTGCTTGATGCTTCTAACATAATATTCACTCCAATTTCTCTTTGTAACTTCTTCTTGACCAACTGGAACACCAGACCAAGAAACTCTCATAACCGTAACATTATCAACATCATTTTGATCAAAGTTAATCTCTAATCTAGAGAAATGTCCTTGTGGCCATTGATCAAGTCTCCAACTTTGTACGATTTTTGTTGGTTCAACAAGTTCAAGGTATTCACCAGAAACATTTCCTCCAAAAAGTTCGAATTTTCCTCCCTTCTTTGCACCTTCAAATAATTTTGGAGCGGCGCGTGTGAATGCGGCAATTCGAGAAGGATCGGTAAATGTTTGATAGAGTTCTGAAGCTGGAGCTCTGAATTCTTCGTTATCGGTAACAGTAGTTGTGTTTACCAAAGAAGAACCTTTGTTGGTAGATGTGCTTGTAGATTGACTTGGAGCATTGTGAGGATATGTCTTTGCGGCTGTGATTTTGGCAGCTGGATTTGCATCTGGAGCATGTTGAATATCCTTTCCATGTTCCGTGATAAGAGCAGGACCCAATTGAGCGAATCGTTTTCGAAGTTGTGGAATGACCTTTGCACGAAGAAGATCCTTGACTGGAGCTTTGGAATTGGCATCGGAATAAATATCTATGTCAAACTAAAAGATCACCATTAGACAATTCGTCCCAAGTGTTCATTCAGGAGACGATTCAAACATACAACATACTCATTTTCTTCTGTATCATGAGCAACTTCAGGAACTGTGATGGTACCACTAACGGATTCATCATCTTTGGTTTTGCCTAGTCCAATTAGACAGAAATTCATAATATTGACTATAACTACAGGGCATACCTGAATACTCAATAACGAGCTTGACATCAAATATGGTAATGACCTTTCCCTTTCGTTGATTGACATCAACATCTCCATCCATACTAATCAATTTATCCAATTGAGCAGTAACACCATCCTCCTCTGCTTTAACCTCCTTTATGCTATCCTCCAACCATTGTTTTGCCCATGTTGAAGCATCTTTGTTTACCCAATGCCAATTGTTTGGGTTGTGAAGAACCATATTGATTGAAGTTTGATTGAAAGTTTTGTTGATTTAAAGAATCTGCCAAAATTGACTGTCAGCAACATGCATTTGTAATGAATGTGAAGATTTTTCAATATGTGAATGAAAGGGTTTTTTGTTCAGAAGGAGGCCCGAAGGCCATAGCATTGTCTTCAAAGATATGAGTACAAATCGACTCTGACTGGTGCCAGCTTGTGTCTCATCATAAAAAAAGGAAGGGGTTTGGAGAAGAGATCTCTGTAGTGAGAGCTTTTGCAACGTACCTTTAATTTGTAGAAGAAAGGAATTAAATGTAGATAATTATTAAGAAAAGCAACACAATCAAACTTGCAAAGTTGATATGTCTGTAGATTGAAGAAAGAAGAGGGTATTTAAGTAGAGGTAGAAGAGTTGTTGAGATGGTGGGAAATGAGGCAGAAGTAAGAAATTATTTTGAAGAAGAAATCAAAAGAATGAATTGGAAGTTTTGAGGACAAGAAGAGGTTCAAAGTCAGTGGGGCTAAATTCAATATGGTGTAGTGTGGAATTCGTGATGCCTTAGGAAAGATGAGAAATGTAAGGCATCTATCTACCTAGGTAGGCAGGTGATGTTACAACTTCCTACAACTTGAAGTATGAAAATCGAAGTCGATATTTGAATCGACGAATGCCCTCATCTATCTACCTACCTAGTATGCACGGCAGGAAACAGTCAAAGAACTTGCGACGACAAGTATCGAATAGTCACTGGCAGCGTTATGTGTACTTCCCGAGAAAGACAGGGTATCAGGGTATCTTCATACCAGTCGGAATTTCTTGAAACCATTCCATCCACTCTAAAGATCTAGAGTGCGCGCACAAGCCTCAAAAGAAAGAAGTCGTCAGCTAGCAATGGTCGGCTCTCTACTCTTACCTAGTAATTATCATTTTGGACTCAACCGCCCAGATCATATCAATTTCGAGATTCCGGAAACGAACAACCGGGATCCAGATGAATATATATATATGTATATCTTCGAACAGTTTTCCTCGGTGATCAACTCAGCAGCGGTTACTGAGTATTCCGATTTTCATCTCTTGGATTTGAATTTGAAGCGTCATGTGAGTGTTCCATCATATGATCAGCTAATCAAGTCAAGCCAGCCTTATTACCTTGGCTCGATTGGCAACCGGAACGGATCTTGTTGGTGTAGGTTTTCTTTCTATCGAATGGACAGCGGCTTCTACCAAAGCCGGCGCTTACAATTAGTTTCCGTCCGGGAGTTTGTACAGATGTGTAGGCAGTTTCGTATTGAGATGAACTGTATGAAGTGTATGAATTGTATGAGATTTGATATTGTAGGTATTGTTCAAGATGTAGAGGGATATTACTTTGTTAGAAAAAGAGAACTCGATTCCAGGTTTGTTGAATTCGTCATAATATGAAAAAAGGACGATCACCGGCTTTTATATATATCATCCAGTATCTGTATCATATGTCTCACCTAATACCTACCCACCTACCGGTACAAAGATACGTAATAATCGCGTAGGTCAAGAGAATTTCATAGTTATAAAGTACCTAACCGTACTAACCCAAGTCCCCCTTTCCGCAAGCGATGAAGATTTTCCCGTATGAAGTTGAGTCAAGTATCAAATCTTCACAAATACCGGTAATGTTTTCGTGTCCAAGGGTCGATATTTGTGGCTGCGAACGTCATATTTGATTTGACCCTTGTTACATTCAGCCACTCATTCTTCAAGAATGGATGAGGGACCAACCAACACAAGTGCATGGAAGAAGCGGAACGGAAGGGAAGGGATGGGATGGGATGGGATGGGATGCACGTCAAGAGACAAAGCGTGATCATTTTAACTTTTATAGATCTACGAGGACGGTAGCTTAGATGGATGAAGCACTCCGGTTATCGATGTACAGTGTGAGATGAGGTAGAAAGGTAAGATTTTTTATTTCTTTAATATCGTAGAGATATTGATTATATGTATCAATGAGGTAGATAAATAGATATGTATGTATTGATAAGATAGATAGATCTTAGGTAGATGACACAAGAACATTTCCATTCTCTCACAATATGAATGATGAATGATGAAGCTAACATTAAAACCAACGCCTCAATGATCAATCAAGCCTTTAAACATCAAAAAGCTTAACAATTATACTTTTACCCATCCGAGTTACCGGACTCTCTCCCTCCCTCAAACTCACTCACACATTCGGTAACGCCGATACTAATGGAAATACTCACAACGAAGACTCATGTTTCCGCCGGGATGAAAACATCAACAGTGAAACCCGGACCAAAGTCAACAGAGGTAGAGCTGGGTAGCTAAATACTCAACAAGAACTCCGTCTAACCTCTCATCAATCCGTTTTCATATCTTGGCGTCTCTCGGAAGTGATACATTAATCCAAATTCGGTCTTAGACATATACATATCTTCTGTCTCTATCTCTCTCTCTCTCTCTTTACCTGTCTCGCGTGTAACCCTTCATTCAACTCCTGCCACCGATACGGACATACCACACCAACCACACCCATGACGTAGTTCACGAACCCTTCCAATCCACCCCCTCAAACCAAAAAAATAAAAATAAAAATAAAAATAAAAGGATTATCATCATAATTCCCTACCAAGAAAGAACACAAACACCAAGCGTATCTTTAGCAGTTAGTAGTTTAGTTGCTTCATAATCCATCAAGCTTTCGTTTTACATTTCTACTGCATTTTTCTTTCTTCTCTTCTCTTCTCTTTCTCTCGTCTCTTTATCAATCAAGACATCTCCTTATCTTTTCGTCTCAAGTTTTGCTTCAATTGCTTTAAGATTCAATTGTTATTCAATAACTAATCATATTGAAATAATCCTTTGTTGCTTAAGAAAACTTCATTGATAATCTTCACTATCATCATCCTCATCATCAACATTATCATTATCTGATACACGACATAGATACCCGGTACCTCTTCATAGCAAAGAAAAGCAGAACTTGTTTCTCGAAAAACAATCTACTACATTACCACAACTACACTACACTACACTACCATCCAATTCCTCAATTCCCAAAACTCCCCAAGAAGTCCAAATTCCCATCCTTCAAAATGGCAATTATCTGGGGTCTCGATCTCCGGGATATGCAATGGGGAAAGTTCAAGGGAGCTTATATGTTCAACCACGTCTATCACCTTCGCAAAACCAAGATGATCGTGTATCAAATCGCCATGATTCTATGTGTGTGTTCGGAATCTGTTGGAACGGCGGCTCTAAGTGGTAAGCATCCTTCTCTCTTCTCATCCTTCCCGCATCAACTCTCATATCATCCAAAAGTAAAAGTACTATACTAATATTCACACCCAATTTTCAGATTACGTCGATCAACGAGATGGCATTAAATCACGTTACGGATATCATACATCAGTCCGAGACATCGTGGGGATTTTCTCCTTTAACATCTTTGTCGGTATAGCCGTCGCAACCATTTTTGGTTCCGGCTTCTTCTTCGATCTCTTCTGGCCCCAACGTCATGAATCCATCGCAGTAAAGAAAGCATGGAAGATTTGTTCGGTCTTGATGTGTTTCCTTACTTTCGCAGATGCTATTGCTCTTACCGTATGTTGATATCTTGATACCATCTCACCTCTTCTACTCTTTCGCTAACCATTTCCGTACAGGTCATTGTAGCCACCCAACGCGCAACGATCGATGGATTAACAAACTCCGAAGCGCAACAATATTTCGACTTGAACGGTCCCCCAAATCCTATCTACCGCAAAAACGCATATTGTGTTGCTTCCGTCGTCCTTCTGTGGCTTGGTATGCTAGGCACGATTGCTAGGTTAGCTCCTCCCACTCTATGTATCATTCAAACCACCAACTAATACATTTTCCAGTACATATATCATGTGGAAATCACTTGCGCACGACAAGGTTCATGGACCATTTGCCAGCAATTTCGGACCCAAAGATGAACCATGGCAAATCCACACCAAATCAGCCGCCATTGATACCAACAGTCCATCCATGGCCGAATCGGGTATTGCCGAGCAACCCATCGCTGCCGCCAATACTCCAGCAGTGGCTCAACCAACTCATGGACATCAAACCGTTCATCACACAACTTAAGATCCATTGATCTACATAGTCCAACAACCCGAAATATACGAAACACAAAACAAGAACCCAAAGGAGGAGAAACAGAAGCGGAGAAACATTATACCCCACAGCACAATATTGAATGAATTCAATATTCTTTTTGGAAAAGAAATGAAATAAAATGACAGGAAAGGAAAGGAAAGGGAAGGGAAGAACAGTTATGTTTTATCACGTCACGCATGCAGAAGGAAATAAATGATACCAGGCATGGAATTGGAGTTGGGGGGTTTTCTTTAATATTAATCATTTTGATTTACGAACTACCTTACCTACCTACCTAGGTCAAGGGAGGATAGTTCATGGTAATGAAAAGCGTGCATAATTACTTCCACTTTTTCTTCTTTTTCGAAAAGAATGCTTTGGACTTGCTGTGACATAATTTGATCGATGGTAAGATCTTACATTGGAGTAATTCTGTATTTGTTCGTATTTGCCCTGGCACTCGCCCTATGACTAACTGAGCACACATGGGGATAATTTTTAAACAGGTCACCACCACACATGCTATTAAGAACCCCAACGGATCAAAACGATTAACGTAACGTATAATTTGATCATCTTATTCATTAACTGATTGACTGATTGAACTGTATGTAATGACTTTTTTCCTCGCCTAGCACCCCCCCCTTACACCTCCACCCCTGAGCAATGCTTTGCCGAATTTAATATCATAAGATAGACATACAACTTGCACTAGCCCCTGATAAAGCTCAAGCTCAAGCTCAAGCTCAAGTCACGCGCTTGGAATCAATTGCATTTCGCATCTTTAATATTGTCTTCCTGGCCCCCTCTCTCCCCTCCTCCATCCCCAAAAAATCATCGCAAGGAATCGGGACCGGTGAGACATGCGTGTGTGGACGCGCGTGGTATGTATGGTGTGAACAGATCCATCCTATGCCATATTATTTCCTTGTACGGTCCAAATCTTATCCACACTCAACTCCCTAACCTCCCGACTTTCACCCTCCACCTAGGCATAAAATTTGTGTGGTTGCATCTTACCCCTCTTTCCCTCCCTGCCTCCTTAACCCCTCAGGGAAGAAAGACCTAGCCAGACATCAGAGTCCAGCTTAGCTTATACTACTATATGTATAGAGATAGCCTACACTATAAGTTGAATTCGCTTGTACCTCACAACCGCTGCTGAGGGAAAAAAAGAAAAGAGCACATCGGAAAGACGAGACGAGACGAAAAAAATGAACTTCAACTAAAATCAAGGGAATTCGTAAAAAAGGGAAAAGAGAAGAACGAATTCCTCGCTATGCATAGAAAGAAATTATATG